TTAATAGCATGGGGGAGGGAGAGGGACACAGAGTCCAGACTCCTGCCTTCTCTGTTTTCTTGTTGATATACTGTGTGACTCAAGGGAGACAGCTCTGTGCCGCAATTTCCTTTAGAAAATAGGGACATTGGTCACCTGGCCTGGTGAAACCTCTTTGAGATTCCTGGATGACCAGTTCTGCAGGGGAAAGCAAACCCTTACTACTACAGCTAATATGATAGTAATTATGATTATTAATCACCAGGCAGTCAGGATTTAAGGTTGGCCTCCTGCCCTCCTCTCATCCCATAAATCAGCCTGGGATGTTCATGGGCACATCACGTGGAGGAGGATGAGTCTGACACAAAGGGCACGTGCCAGCCCAGAGACTTTTTGGGGGGGAGGGGTCCCCAGAGTGGAGGGTGGGGGCACCAGCCCAGCTCTGGGGCAGGGAACAGCCCCATCCCTCCAGCCCCTCTGCAGTGACCCTAGAAAGGCTTGTCCTGCTCCAGCCATAGCTGTGGGGCCCCTCTGATCCCCCTTTCTCCAAGCAGGGAGTTTGTCCCAGCACGTGGAGGAGCCTCTCCTACCAGCCCTCTTCCCCACATTGCATTTGCAGCTGAGTCATGTCATTCCCTTCCAGGTTATTATTGACTGAGCTCCAGGAGCCTCCCAGTGCACCCATGGTGGTTCCAGTCCCCTCAGAGCTCCCCAGGCCCCTCAGTGCATCCCTGCAGGGCCAGGTCACCCATGCAGCTGCCACTCCATGCCCTGCCCTCTTTGGAGCACTCTATGCCCAGACTTCTTTCAATTCCCTGGGTTTTAAGCATATGCTTGTAGTTAATCCTGCGCTTACATTTTATCCCAAATTGGAAAAATTGGGGTCTTTGGGCAAATTCTCCTGCTGTTCAAGTCAGCTGAAGGGCTCCCTCTAATTTAACTGAGCAGTAATCCTCTCTCTCCCTGCCCTGCTCTCCTTCTCCTCCTCCCTCACTCAGTTCTACTTCTCCCCCCTCCTCCTCCTCCTCCTCCTCCTCCTTTTTCTCCTCACTAAACATTTTTGAGGTTTTACTCCTTTCCCCTTATTTTTTTTTCCCTTCCTTCCCACACCCTGGGGAATCAGTGGGAGATTACCTGGTTTCCAAGGGCAAAGGAGACCTGGGTGCTTCCCGAGGGTGTCCTCCCCCTCCCTGCTCCTGGGATTTCTGATCTGTGCAGGAAATCATCACCTGCTCAGCGAGGGGTTGCACAGGCACGTTGGGAGAGGAGTGCAGCCTTCCTGGGGTATGGATTTATGGTGGGAGGTGTGGGATGGAGGGGCTGGGAGCCCGCTTGGATGCCAGCATGCCAGCTGCCGGCTGGCACTCGCCAGGAGAAATGTTTGCCAACCGAGACGCGACATTTCTGCCTCTCTCTGTAATTAGAGCCACACTGCAAACACAGCTGGGAAGGGAGAGACAGGGCTCTCGTGGTCCCCAAAGCTGCCTCCAGCCACCAGGACTGTCCCCAGGCACTCTCAGGTGTCCTTCTGCCTGGCATGGCTCATGCCCCTGCCTTGCCCTTCACCTTTGGAAGATGCTCCACGGATTTGACACGGGATGGAGGAATTTGGGCTGTAAATTTATTTTTGCAGGTGGAAGGATGCTCCTTGTTTTGGCTCCTTTCTCTGCCTCACCACTCCAAATCTTGATGCATTTTTTCAGGCTCTCACCTCCGCGCTGTTTGTTTGTTAAGTATGAAACAAAAGCCCAAAACAAAGGTAAAAATGTGCAGCCAAATCGAACTCTCATCAGCCTGGGCCTTCCCAGCCCTGGGAGACTGCAAATCTGGAAAGGACTCGGTGACATTAAACCAAGTCACGGACATTGTTTCCTGACAAAGCCACTTCCACTTGTGAGTGGCAGGGAATGCCACGGGGACTCTGCTCTGGGCCGTGGCCACTCAGGTCATGGCATCCCCCTGGCACCCTGCCTGTCCCCCCTGCCCAGCAGGGGAAACTGAGGCACAGGGCAGGCTCGTGACTCACCTGCCAGGAGGATGGATGGGGCCTGCAGGCTGCAGGAGCTCGTGATGCTGCAGGGAGGAGCAGGGAGAGGCAGCATGCAGCGGGTCTGTCTGACTGGAAACTCCCCTGGAAAGGAGCCCGTGCCAAGTTCCCAGCTCTTTTGGTGGGGACAGTTCTCTCCCTGTCACCTGGGATGCCTCAGGGGGACAGTGCCAGCTCAGGGGGGAGCCCCGAAGGGTGGGGACAGTTCCCCACCAGCAGTGGGACATGGGCAGAGCCCGTTTGGGGTGCTGCTGCTGAGGCACCCTGGGACAGGGCCATGGGACTCTGTGGGGCTGGGGAGGTTGTCAGCACATCTGGAACCCCTGGATGCATCCCCTGGGGAGGATGGGATCCCACTGGGTGCCCAGTGCATCCAGCCACAGGCAGGGATGGCACCCCTCCATCAAGGAGGGTAGAGCTGTCATCTGCCTTGGATCTGGCCCTGTCCCCCTTGGTAGGGAATTCCAGCTGAGCCACGGGGCTGGGAAGAGTCTGAACTTGCTTAGGGGGGAAATAAGGGGTCTTTCCCTCACCCCTAAATTCACCTTTACACCCCTCAGCCCTGCTTGGGCAGTGGGAGGGAAGGATGGTGCTGACCTGAGCTCACAAGGATCTGCAGGGATGGAGCTCTCCCAGCCCCTCCTGCATCTCGCTGCATCCCTTCCACAATTCCTGTCCCCTGAGACCCCCCCAAGGCCACCTGGCCCCTCTGCCCTGCCCACGGTGGCCCCTTGTGATGGCCCCAGCTGCTGCCAAGCTGTGGCTGCGCCTTTCCAGGCGCTCCCTGTCCCCCGGAGGGGAATGTGAGGAACGCAGCCCGTGCACCCTGCCTGCTCCTGCCTGGCCACCCGCCGGCTAAGAATAGACCTGCCCTGGCCAGGCCCCACCATCACCACGGGGCTGTGGGTGTGGGAACCCCAGCCGCCTTCCTCAGGGGAAAAATGGACCTAAAAAACCCAAAAAAATCGGTTATTCTGATTCCCCAAGGGTCCTTGTGCTGGTGAAGGGAGCCCAGAGCGTTTCTTGCTTTGAATTAATGTGATTTTAAAGCAAATTTCCTCTGGAAGCTCTATGTACAGGCAGGGGGTGCAAAGCAGCCCCTCAAGCTTGGTACCTGCTGCCTCCTGAGCTCCCCTCCAGGAGCTCTGTGAATTAAGGGGGAATCTCCTCCTTTCTTCTGCTTTTACGTTTCTTTTTTCTCCTTAGGGAGTGATTTCGCTGAGCCTCCTAATTTCAGCTGCAGGCATGATGCAGAAGGCAGAAGGCAGCAAAATCTCTCCAGATGTTATCACAACGGGGAAGGGAAATCATCCTTGGTTTAGAGCTATCTTGTAAAACACTGCTGCTGGCTTGGCAGAGCCCTTGGGGCACGAGCTGGCCCTCACAAAGTCTCATTCAGGCCCCCCATCTCAGCCAAGGAGCTCCAGTGGAGCTCAAGGTGGGACCTTCAGCCTCCCCTGGGCTGGACTGGGCATAACCTTGTGTCCAGCCCCATCTCCTGGGTGGACTTTGCACCTGTGTCGAAGGCAGCCTGGTGTCCAACCCCATCCCATCTGCTGCGTGGACCTTGGCCCCGTGTGGAAGGTTGGCTGGTGTCCAATCCCACCTGCTGCACACAGCTTGGAGCTGTGCTGAAGGAGCCTCTGGGTTCTGCATGGGCCTGGGCTGTGTGGGTGCCTCTGGACACAGCTCAGGGCACCCTCATCCACCCTCATGTCCCTGGCAGGACAAACTCAGCTCCTGCGTGGATTCTCTGGTGTCTAACCAGTGCTGAGTGTGTGCTGCACTCCCTGAGTGACAATGTTCAGTGTGGCTCTATTTTTTTTTTTTCCTTTTTAATCCTCTTCTCCAGAAAGCAATTTTCATGAAACTTACAGGATCTTGATGATCTTGGAGACCTCCTTTCCTCCACTAATGGGGCAGAAAGGAGCCAAGGAGCTCAAAATCACCAGCGAGGATCCGAGCTGGATGGAGCACACCTGCTTTCCCAGGCTGAAAATACACTTGGCTCCCAGCTCAGCTCTCACCGTGCCAGGTCTGTGCTCCGTGAGCAAGGGAAGGGGGGAGAGGAGGGAGCCTGGTGTGCCGGGATGGAAAGCAGATGCCCCGGGGTGTGAGAGCTGCTGGGGCTGCTGCTCGGGGCCTGGGACTGTGACAGAACCACGGAAGGTTGGGGTGATGGAAAGCAAATAAACAGCCGAGCGTGGGCGGGCAGACACCTGCCTTGTGCTCCTGTGCCAGGTGCAGGGAGCCGCTCCCAAGCCTCAGCTCCCCGCGGCCGAGGGCAGAGGCCACGGGATGGGATAGGGACGGGTGGATCAGCCAGATCCCCTCATTTCCCCTGCTGCTCCGGGCTGCAGCAGATCACAGCTCTTTAAGGCTGCAATAATCCCCGGCCTGGGATTAGTTTTGCACCTAATCACTGCAGAACAAATAGGAAGTTTTATTTACAGAAGCAGAAGAAAGACGAGGCCGGGGATGGGGAGGGACAGGGGGGGAACGGGTGGGCCTCAAAGCACGGCTGATCCCGAGATAATCAGGAGCTGGAGGGCAGGAGGCGATCGCTGACCTTGGAACCCCCTCCCCGGCTCTTACGTAAGCGTGGCACTGCTGCTGGAGTCACAGCAGTGGTGAGCTCCAGCCCGGTGACCCCCAGCCCTTTAAACAGCTCGTGTCTGGACTTTGGGGATGATTGGCCCTGATTCAGCCCCTCGCTGAGGCACGTGCTGCACTGGGAGCCCACGAGCTGTCAGCTCTGACGGAGCGTGGCTCAGGGGAGGATGGAGATGCTGCAAAGGGATGCTCATCTTGCAGATGCGAGGGGAGAAGCTGGGTGCTGCAGTTATGTTGCCCCAAAGCCACACTGGTCCCCAGGGATTTGTGCCTGCACTGGGTTGGGGTGGCAGCTGTCCTGCTTGAGAGCCTCGTTCCACTGAGCCCCCAGCCCACCTGCAGGAAGAAGCTGAGCTGCTGCTCCAAGGGGGACAAGACACAGGTTTATTTGTCATCCATGCAAGCGAACAGCCTGGTAGCAGGCAAACCAGGATGTGCTCCATCCCTCCCCAAACTGCCCTCTGTCACTCAAGTCTCTGTGGCTTTGCCCACAGATCAGATTTGGCTGGTGGGTGACCAGGCTGGACCAGCTCCAGCCCTGGGCACAGGGGCAGCTTGTGACGGCTCCGTGCCTGCCGGAGCCTCAACTTCTCTTTCCCCTGATTCAGACATTGGCAAATAAATAGCTCTTCTCTGCTCTGGCTCTTGCATAGTGGAAAGGAATGTCTGACCTGATAGGAGAGAGTAATCCTGGGTTGTGGAAACCCATGGCTTCCTTGGCAAGTGTGCCCATGGCATGGCTGCCAGCCTGGCCAAGTGCCCATGCTTGCACCCTGTCTGTTGCCCTGCTGGTGGCTCTGCCTTATTTCAGTTCCATTTCTGAGATGGATGTGAAGGCCTTTCCCCTGACTATGAAGAACTTGACACCGAAGAAGATGGTGGTGATCAGGAAGAGGAGTGCCAGGGCGAGCAGGACCCAGCCCCCAGCTGTGGCTTGACTTTTGGTCAGGGACATTCCCAGGAAATCAGTTTTGCTGGAGTCATCTTGCTGGGCTGGAAAAGAGAGAAAAGAGAGACGTGGTTGTTGCTGGGGGCTCTGGGCTGTGGTATATTGGGCCACCTTTCTGGCCTCTTGGATGCTCTTTGGAATCAAGGAGAAGTATCCAAACACCCTGTGGTTTTTGGGATGGCCAAGCAGCACCAAGGGAGCTCCATTTCATTCTGCCCCTGGTGAGGGCTGAGCCCTGGCCAGTCATGGGCCTGCTGTGCTTGGCTGAGCCCTGCATACCTGTGTAAGGAGTCCAGCTGTACTCGGGCCAGCCCAGGACCTCCCCGTTCTTCTGGTTCTCTTTCTCCAGCCACGTCATGAGTGGCTCAAAGTAGCTCATCAGGGCCTCTGCTGACATGTTGGGCTGTCCTGTGATGAGCTGCATGGCTTCAGGCCATGGCTTGCTGAAACCCAGCTTCAGGGCATCCCTGTGGAGGAGAAATCAGCTCCAGTGCGTTCCCCATCACCCTCTTGGCTGCCAGCCCCTCCCTTTCCCTTGGAGCTCTTGGTGTCAACATCCCTGGGTACAGTTTGAACCCCCAGAACCATAGGGCTGCCAGCCTGGAGCACAGGGAAGGACATTTATCTGTGGGGGAAAGAGGGGTTTGCATGGGCTAAAAACCTCCAGTGAATCCAGCCTGATGCTGAGCAGTCCCTGGGTGAAAGAGTTAATTTTGCAGGTGCTTTGCTTGAAGCAAGGGGGTTGTTTTCCCTAAGGAACTGGGGGCTGGGAGGAGGAGGAGGAGGAGGAGGAGGAGGAGGAGGGAGCCTTCCCCCTGACAGGGGCCTAGCTACCATCTAGTGGCTGCCTTTGCAATCACAGCCCCAGGGCCCAGCCCAGGGTGTCACCCCAGGTATGGGATGGGAGGGATGAGCAGGGGCTGTGCTGCCTCCTGTCTTGCTGGGCTGGCTTTAGGGAATTTGGGGATATTTTTGCCTTGGCTTTACCCTGCCCACACACCTACCCCAAGACCTTTCCAGCCTCCTTGGACTGGTAGATGTCACAGGTGTGCAGGGGACCGGTGTGACCAGCTGCATCGCAGAGTGCCTGGTGGAACTGGAACTGGATCACAAAGCTGACAAAGTACCTGGTGGAGAGGGATGAAGAGATGGGAATGGACCCTGCTTGTGCCTGTGCAACAGAGGATGTGGCTCCCCTCATTCTCTGGTTGCACCCTCCCTGTCTGGAGGAGCATCAGTGGTTTTGGAGTTACGCCTTTCTCCCATAATGTGTTTTATGTTTGTTGGAGTGATTGAGCTCATCTTCCTTGGACAGGGAGAAATTCCCCTAAATTCAGACTTCTTAGGGTCTCTGGAGCTGCCCAGCCCATGCAGGATGGTACCACCAGCCATGGAGAAAGTGTCATTGCTGGCATCTGACCTGGGGATCCTGCTTCTATGTCCAGGTGGTGTCCCTCGTGCCCCAGCCCTGCTGGCTCACCTAATGTAAGGGACGTTGGCAGGAATGTGAAACTTTGCCCCGGGGTCAAAGTCATCTTCAGACCTCGGTGTTGGTGGGCACAAGCCCTGGTACTTCATCCTGTGTGAGAGAGGGAGAGTCAGGCCAGCTTGGGGAGGAGGAGATGGGACAAAGTGGGAAGGAACAGAGTGGGGTGTGAGGACAGAGGGAGGGGCTGTGCATCTCATCATTCCCATTGCAGTCGGCTGGACCACAAGGAGAAAACACCCAGTGGGATGACAGCCTTGCTTCAGAGAAGGGTCTGAATTCAATCCTACCTGAGGTTCCACCACTCCTTGTTGTACTCATCCTCCTTGATCCGCCCATCAAACACCTTCCAGCGCCACTGGTCCATGAGGTACCCGAAGGGCAGGAAGGCAATTTTGTCCAGGGCGATGCTCATCAGGTAGTTAATATCACTTTCTGCTCGGGGCATGAAGATGTGAGCAAGTCAGTGCTGTACCCACCTCTCCTCCCTCCGTGGGTCATTCTGCCCCAGAACTGGGTGTCCCCAACAGCTCCTGTCCCCTCCATGTGTGGCAAAGCCACCATGTGTGTCCCTGAGCCCTTCAACCTTGCCTAGCCCCTCCTGACCATCTGCACTTCCAGCTGTTCCCATAGCATCCCCACATTTGCTCTCCAATTGCACATTGTGGCCCTCTAGCTCACCTTCGTTTTCCATGACCTGGTCCAGCAGATTGATGCTATGGAGGTGTTTGGGTGTGGAGACAGACAAGGCCATGACGTCCCCAACAGCCTCATGGAAGCCAGGGTTGGCCCCGTCACGGAAGGAGATAGGCTGGTCCTTGTACTGCAGGAAGTACTGGACGTGGCCCATCTCATGGTGCACCGTGATGAGGTCGTCCATGTTCACCACGGTGCACTGCTTGATCCTGGACCAGGACACAGGGGTTGGGGGAAAAGGGAGGGAAATGGTGGCATGAAAACCTCCAGGAACCATCACGCCCCCTTGAGCTATTTTTCCTTTCTATGTACCCCCTCCCCACATCTGGTGCCACGCCAGGCTGGTCCTACTCCACTGGGTTGGGCTCTTCCTCCTCCTGCATCTCCTTCTGACCCTGCCCATCCCCTGTCCCTGTTCATCAGCTTTTCCATTCTCCAGGACAGGGCAGGGCAGGCATGGATTGCCCTCCATCCACCACGGGGACTCCTACCAGCATCTTGGCTACCAAGAGAAGTGCCACAGCTGGGGTGCACAGCCACACTGTGGTGGCATCAGCCCACATGCCCTTATCCTACAAGGACCCTTTGAGCCCCAGCACCACAGCAGCAGTGGGCACCCCCTGCTCCCCAGGGGCACCTGAAGTCCTTGCGGTTGTAGAAATCCCAGGCTGAGGCGTGGCACACCACCTCCCGCCCATCCGATGGCTTCTCAATCATGGACTTTTCCCAGAACTCCTGTGGCATCGGGATGAGGCCCAGAGAGGTGAAGAAATGGTCTGACTCTTCAAACATTCTCTGGGGTGTCCAGCCCTGGGCAAAGAGCAGAGACTCGGTGAGGGGCAGTGTGGAAGGATGGGAGGACAGGGATAAACTTGCTCTGGGCAGGGGAATCTCCTGGAGTCACCTAGACTTGGATCCAGGTCTTGGCATATAGAGGTAGGGAGAATACAGATGAGGCATGGATTTTTTTGGCAGCATTAGAGCATTTGGCAGCACGGGTGGTGGTAACAGCCAAAGGTTGCTGGGTCCCAAGGGACTTCCCCAGAGCAGCCTAGAAAAGCACTGACCTGGTTTTTCATGGCCGGGGTGGCATCCACCTTGGTGGCATCTGGGAAAGGTACCACCAGGTCGAAAATGTTGGACCATGACTGAGCCCACATGTTGCCTGGGAAGCACAGAAGGATGACACACGTCAGGAGGGAGACAGGGAGAGGAGAACAACCAGTTACTCCCTCCTCCTGCACAGGTGGATCACCCTGCCTGGTCCCTGCCCTGCCTGCATGAGGGCAATGTAAGCAGGAGCCCAGCCATGCAAGAGAAGTCAAATCATTCTGAGTGCGCTGCCCTTCCCTGGGGCAGATTGTCCTCTATCCCCATCCCAGGGGACCTTTTCCCTTCAGCCACAGCTGGACAGAGACCAGTGTTAACTCTTGGCATGGCACAGAGACAGCCACACCTGGTGGGAGAAGCAGCAGTGCTCAAGCAGAGCCCTTACCTAGCAGATGGGCAGGGATGGGACCCTTCAGGTTGATGCGCTCTGCACCATACTTTTTGTAGAGGGCTCGACGTACATAAGCATGCAGGTTGAGGTACAGGGGCTGCAGCTGCAGGTACAGCCTCTCCAGATCTTCCTCAAAGGTGGGTGTCTCATACAGGGATCTCCAGTAGGCCCCGTTGTCCGTGTAGCCTGTGGTAGGGCAAGAGCAGAAGCTGTCAGACTCTTCCTCTTGGGCAAGACTCTGTCTTGCTGTTCAGATGCTCCAAGAGAGACTGAGAGTAGATCTGGGAGTTAGTGAGACCTCCATACCCTTGGGATTGTGACCCCCAGGTGGGTGAAGAGGGCCATGGTGGGCTCCAGGGGAGCAGGGCACTGACCATTGAGCACGGCTGCCTTGTTGCTCAGCTCCACGTATCGCTTGTAGTTGTTCCTCATCTTCTTCCCAGAAGCATCCCGCCAGCCCTTCCAGACAAAGAGGAGCTCGTCGTAGTCCCGATAGGTGGCCATGATGTCTGTGAGGTCTGAGAGAGAGCAACAAAGCCACTGAGATGGATGGGCTGAGCAGGTGCAATGGTTCTGTACTGTGTTGCTCAGGGGCCATCACAGAGAAGGTGAAAGAACCCTTCATGGCCTTTCTTCATGCCCCCATTTAAAAAATTCCCTCCCTTCTGATGCCCCACAGGACACCCTGCTAGATCTTACCAGGATCCAGGGGGTGACAGGTTTTGTTCTCTCTGCAGACCTTGGCCACGCTGTAGGTGGTCTCCATGTCTGAGAGCAGGGTGTTATACTGCAAAGGAAATCAGAGTGTGTAAAGTGGTTATCCTAGCTCCTGATATTGGAGGATGTCCCAGCCCATTGAGGTTTTTGGGTGTTTTACTCTGGTCCCTTCCAAGATCAAGTGTGACCCCAATGGAGGCAACACTGAGTCCATACAAGAAGGCCTGGGGCCAACAAGCAATGTGCTATTGTCACCCAAAAATCCAGGCCCCACTGCAGCCTGGGATAGGCAACCTTTGGGTAGGAAACCCTGAAGACAAGGATTTTGGCTTTGTGCAGAAGGTACCAAGCTATCACCTTCTTCAAGGCAGATGGTGGCTGCTCAGAGGCATTTCTTAAATTCTGAGAGAAAAACTCTTGTCTTCACACAAGGTGACGGCAAGGGACACCCTCTCTTGCTCTGTCCCTTTCCACTCACCTCCTTCAGCTCATCCTCAGGTAAGGCTGCCCTCTCAATGACACTCAGCTTCTTGAGGATGCGGGTGACGCTTTGGTCCTGGAAATCGGAGGTGTCAAACTGCCTGGCCCTCATGCCGTACTCCAGGGTGTGCTTGGACATGGCCAAGTTCTTCTCCAGCTACAATGGGAGAAGAGGAGTTACTTCAGGGAGGAGACACAGGCCACTGCTAGAAGCACCACCTGGCATCCCACAACTGACACCTTCCCCTTTGTGGGCCCCTCATGGGATGATGAGGGTTTTCAAGGAAAAGGGTGGGAACGTTTTCCCTTTACAAGGGGCAGAGGCTGCCCTGGTTTTCAGAGCTTCTGTGAAATGTGCCCTGAGTACCACCTGCCCTCCCTGGCTGTTGGCTCTCCCTGCACAGCCCCAGGGTCGTTCCCATACCATGATCTCCTTGTTGTGGTCAGTGATGTTGGTGTTGTAGACCCAGGAGGCCTCGGTGTAGGCATTCCACACTTCCTCAGCTGTGCTGTTGTACTCGGACAGGAACACTTTAGCTTGTGCCTCATCTGCTATTTTGTCTAGAGGAGGAGATAAATGGGGGAAGAGACGAGAAAGGTCAGGAGAGTTGCAAGAGCATTATGGAGAAGCCATAATTAAGCTTTTCCCAGAAGTGCAGGTCCACTGAAGGATGCCATGACTTGGGAGCAGGCTGAGTTAAGAATTGGGGAAGAAGTGCCCAGCTGGGGTAAGGATAAGTTGCATGCTCTAGACTCTCCCACATGAGCACAAAGGATCCAATTAAGAAGAGAAACTCTTCACACCATGACTGATGACATCATTACACAGCCTCAGACAATGGCACCTGCCTCCTGGGAAGCAACCTCCCATGGGACTTCCCTGGAGCTGGTTATTCCTCTATTCCTGATATGGGGACCACCCCACACACAGCAGAAAACCTCCTCTGCTTCTGCCTGTGGATTAATGATATCCCTTGGAGAATTTCTTCCTGACCCTCCCCAAACCCAGGATGGAGCTGCAGCCTTACCAATGCCTTCAGGGTAGCCTTCAGGGACAGGGGGACGCCAGTCAAACTCAGGCCAGCCCAACACCTCGTTGGTCTTGTTGTTCTGCTCCTGAAGCCACTTGGTGACAGGGCTGAAATACTCCAGAAGGGGTGCAGCATCCATCTGACCCGAGCCAGTGAGATTCTTAAGGATTTCCTGCCACGACTTTGAGGATCCAACTTTCAACACTTCCCTGTGGAGAGCAGAACAACAAGAGCCAGCATGAGGCCAGAGGATGGATGGGAGAGAAGCAGTGATAGTATCTCAGCACCTTAAGGGTTGAAAATGCTGTTCCAGAGTGGGACATGAACCTGGGAACTGCTCTGGAAGCCACCACCTGTCCTGCATGTGGGAACTGAGGATTCCCTGTCACACACTCATGCATTTAACACCCAGGGAATCAGCAGGAGCCAACTGTGCTTTAGTGACCTCTTGTCTGGGTGGGAGCTCATGGCTGGGACAATAGCAACACTCTGGTGGTGAGGACCACTCACCCCACCCCAGTGCTTCCATGTATTTCCATCCATCCATCCATCCATCTGCAAAGCTATTTCTCCAGTTCACTTTTCCTTCCTTCCTATCTTCTTTCCTTCCTTTGCACACCATCAGCTTCCATGCACACATCTGCCCATGGCGATTTTCCTGACCCTCCTCTGTCCCCACCTGAGTTTGTCTCCAGCCTCTTTGGACCTGTAGATGTCACAGGTGTGCAGGGGACCGGTGTGGTTGGCAGCCTGGCACAGTGCCTTGTGAAACTGGAACTGGAGGATGAAGCTCACAAAGTACCTGCCAAGGAAGCCCATGAAGGTCAGAACTGGGGACAAAGAGAAGCGGGCAAGTCCAAGAGCTCAACACCAACATTTGTGGTCCAAGTGTTGGGAGATCTCTATGTCTTGAGCAGGAGCAGCACATGACAGTCCCTGCTCGCAGAGGTCATACCCCACCCACTGCACCCCAAACCTTGGTCCCCTTGCCCACATTTCCTCTACCTGATGTAAGGAGTGTTCCCTGGGATGTGGTACTTTGCTCCAGGGTCAAAGTTGCTCTCGTTCCTTGAAATCGGGGCGCAGATGCCCTGGTATTTGGTTCTGTGGACAACATGAGCATGGGAATAATAAAGGGTCAGAAGAATCTAGTCAAAGGGTGGGAAGACTTGGCACAGTGCTGAAGAGATCTGCACAGTTAGAGCATGATTCCATGTATATATATCCATCCATCCATCCATCCTACCCACTCACCCATCCATTGCTCTCCCACCATTTCCACGGCTACTTTTACGCTTTTTCTTTCCTCTTTCCTGCCTCCCTTCCCTGCACATGCCCAGCTTCCCCAGCCACATCCCCCCTTGGTGACTGTCCCCACCTCAGGTACCACCAGTCGTAGTTGTAGCGGCTCGGCGGCGTGCGGCCGCTGAACACGTTCCAGCGCCACTGGTCGATGAGGTAGCCAAAGGGCAGGAAGGCAATCTTCTCCAGGGCCATCTTCAGCAGGTAGTTGATATTGCTCTCTGCAGGAAACAGAGCCTGAACCAGGCTGGAAAGGATTCTGCATAGACAGCACTACAGGCACTAGAATTTTAGTGGGCAAGAGGGTGGGTAGATCTGGATGAGAAATGGGCACAGTATCTCAACCTCCAACCTTTTTCCTAGAGAAGGTTTTGTAGGACACGGGAGATTTCTATAAATACAGTTACACGTGCCTTTTACTGAGTGGGGACAATGACAATGACAAATATGGTGTTCCCTTGTCCTTAGCCCAGCTCTCAGAGTTAAAAGGTCTTTGGTGAGTGTAAATCTTCACACTTCCACCCTGGGGCCTTCAGGATGAGGGGCTTTGGGGGAGTTTTTTCTGCAGTCACACCACTGCAGAGGCTCTGATGGTTTAGACCCAGAACCAGAGCCAACTCTAGGACAGCCACCACCGTACCATGAGGAGCACAGGGGATGGTGACATCTGTTCTCCCCCTCAAGGAAACCCGGGGAAGGAAGTTTGGAGAAGGACCTGCTGGAGACCCAGCTGAAGCTGTGGGGTCAGAGAAGGGTTGGCAGCACTGTCCTGAGGGGCTGTTGGCTGCCTTCACCATGGCAGCCTGGCTGCCAAGGGCTGGCAAGCCGGGTAGCAATGGCTTGAGGCAGAGACCATCTGCCTCGCTGTGTTTATGCAGCCCTGGCCCGATGCTCTTGGCTGCTGTGATGTCTTTCTTGTCGTAAAACGTATTTAATGACACGGCAGGAGGATCCCAGGACTGTCCCTCCTCCGCCAAGCAGCGCCTGGGGCAGGTCTGGGAGTGCTCAATTTCTTCTGCCACCATCTGCTTTGATGTGTTGGCTGAGGGATGTCAGTGGGAGGAAGAGGCTCTTGATGAGCTGGGCAGTGCCTGCAGTGACAAGTGCTGCCCTGCTGTGCTGGCTGGCAGCTGGACACGTCACCCTCTGCCTGCCCTCGTGACCGTGCACGTGCATGCTTGGTGCCACCTCCCCAGAGCCACACCAGCAGCTCCACTGGTGGATGCTTCTTGGGCAGGGAGGAAGGAATGCTAGAAAGGTCAAAGCCAATCAAGCACAAAAATGTTGTTTTCCAGTTTGGGCTCTGCTGGTGAAGGGAAAGGCACAGACGAACTCTGGAGAGCATCATTCCTGCCCCAGGGGTGAAGAGGATGGAGGGCTCTACATGGACCCATGGAGACAGGAGGGGGCTGTTCATGGACCCATGGAGATGAGAAGGGGTTGTGGCAGTTCTGGGCTGCGTTGCCAGACTGCAACCCACCCTGGCATGTCCCAAACCCTTCCCAGTGCCACGGGCAGTGCCAGGTCACCCAGCTCCCCAGGGTGGCTGCCATACCTTCATCCTCAGTAGCGTTGCTGAGGAGACCGATTTTCTGCAGGTGGCCGGGGGTGGACACAGAGAGGGACAGGACATCCCCGATGGCCTCGTGGAAGCCAGGGTTGGCCCCGCTGCGGAAGGGCACGGGCTGGTCCTTGTACTGCAGGTAGTACTGGATGTGGCCCATCTCGTGGTGCACCGTGAACAGCTGCTCCATGGTCACCGTTGTGCACTGCTTGATCCTGTGAAAACAGCATTGCCTGAGCCCAGTGAGGGACCCCTGAGCTGCCTGTGCACCCCCTTGATGGGAAGGACTCCCCACAGTCTCAGAGAGGGTGGCAGCACCCCATAGGGTAAGGGAAAGTGGAGGGGGAGGCAGGGCAGCATTGCCAATCCAGACCTCGCCTCAGAAAATGCTACATTGGGGTGCATGGCCAGGCGGGGGTACCCAAAAGGGTGGGGGTACCCAAAAGGGTGACTACCAATGGGGATAGGAGAGGGTCTTGCCCTGTAGCCCTGGGTCCCCGCATGCCCCCACAGACCTGAAGTCCTTGCGGTTGTAGAAGTCCCAGGCCGAGGCATGACACACCACCTCCCGCCCATCTGTCGGCTTTTCCAGCATGGAAAACTCCCAGAATTCAGGGGGCATCTCCAGGAGCCCCAGGGAGGTGAAGAACTCCTCCGAGACCCGGAACATGTGAGTGGCATTCCAGCCCTGGTGGGAAGCAAGCGATGGGTTATGGTTGAGGAAGGGGCTGCCTGTGCCCTGGGCTTTGCCTCCAGCGCTCCAGGACTGTGGGAAGGGGCTGAGTTGCTCCCCAGGACTGAGGTTCTGCCCCTCTCTCTGTGATGGGGAGGCCCAGCCCCAGACCTGGTGTGAACATTGCTAAAAAGCACCGAGCAATGGTGCTGGAGCTCAGCAGGGGCAGGAGAAGGGAGCAGGGCTTGTACCCAAGAAGGGCTTGGAGCTGTGTGGTGGTGTGAATGCAGCAGTGCAGCCCCCAGCCTGGGGACTGGCAGCAATCCCAGTGCACTGCCCACTTTTGTCCACCTGCTGCCTCTTTGGTCATTGCCAGATATGGAGTAAGACCATTTCTTTGTCCCTTCCCCTCCCAGACATGGATTTTCTGCTGTCCCCTATACAAGTATGAGAAATGACTCCCATGGGGTCAATGTCATGGGCCAGCCTTGGCAACACCTCCTGCTTTTTCTCCCTGGTCCCTCCAATGAGTCCCTCACCTGCTGCACCATGGTGCTCGTGACATCAAGGTTGGGCTTCTCAGGGTAGGGGATCATCAGGTCATAGATGTTGTTCCACTGCTGAGCCCACATGTTCCCTGAAAAGAGAAAACAGCTGGAGCACAGCTGGTGGCAGGTCAGAAGAGAAACACAGTGAAAACTGTGACCTCTCTGGCCTTGTGCGTGCCCCTCTGGGCACAGGCTGGGGGAGGCTCATCTTTTACCCAGGAGGTGAGCAGGGATGGGACCCTTCAGGTTGATGTACTTGGGCCCATAGCGGTCGTACAGCTTCCTCCGGACGAAGGCGTGCAGGTTGAGGTAGAGAGGCTCCAGCTGGTTGTAGAGGTGCTCCAGGTCCCTCTCAAAGGTGTCTGAGTCGTACCAGGAGCGCCAGTAGCTGCCTGTGTCATTGAATCCTACCAGGGACACAGGGAAAACCTCTGTCTCCAGACCCCAAACGCTGGCCCCACTACCCACCCCTAAAAGGTGCAACCAGGGTCTAGCAGCAGGATTTTCCCCTTTCCCTAAAGTGTTGATACTTGGGAAATAGAAGCTGGATGCCTGGCTGCATCCCAATATCCCAGTTCCAATTTCCACCCCAGCTCCCTGATCACGCCCTGTTTGGGGACCCCTGGGTTTGTACCATCCTTGGCGTAGGCGGCGTTGCTGAGCTGCACGAACTCCTGGTACTTGGGGCGCAGCGGGTTCCCCGCGGCGTTGTGCCAGCCCTCCCAGGCAAACAGCAGCTTCTTGTAGCTGCGGGACGTGGCCATGATTTCCGACAGGTCTGGGACAGAGGGGACAAAGAGAACATAAGGAAGCAGAGCCCTCCTATTTTTCGGATATTTTTCAGACTGCTGGAGAGGGAGGCACAGCTCTGCAGAGGTGCCACCACCACCGTGCCAAACCCCAGTGCCTGTCACTCTAGGACACGAGACAGAAAAATGTGGGCACTGGATTTTCTAAGGAAAAGAAGAGGGAAGTTTAATTCTGACTTCAGCATTTAGAGATTTCCAAAAGTGACAGTGGCTCTGCAGAGGTGCCACCACCACCACCATGCCAGACCTCAGTGTCTGTCACTCTAGGACAAGAGACAGAAAAATGTGGGCACTGGATTTTCTAAGGAAAAGAAGAGGGAAGTTTAATTCTGACTTCAACGTTTATAGATTTCCAAAAGTGACAGTGGATTGGAGGGTGAAAATGCCGCCTCTCCAATGACACTGTATAAACCAACAGTTTATTAAATTTGTCTTATTTTATAAAAGAATGCAAAACTATAAATTATTTACATCAAGTGTGTGAGAAAGCTTGTTACAAGAATGTAAACATCAGAAGGCTTAGAAAAACTTAAAAAAAAAGGGTGACAAGTGCCCATCCTCACACTGGGACAATTCTGATTAACGTGGGTGGAACCCAAACCCACAAAGGATGTGGGGACCAGACAAAGTCCTGGCCATGGGGTGCTCAGCAGCTGGCAGGACCAAGGGGACAGGGACCATACCTGGCTCCAGATCCCAGCAGGTGCCATTGGGCTGGCACACCTTGGCCGTGGAGTAGATTTTGTCCATGTCACTCAGGATGGTGTTGTACTGTAGGAAAGGAAAAGACTGCTGAGAGGAAAGGGGGTGCCAGGGGACAGGAACAGCCCTTCAGGATCTCCCAGCTCTGCAGTGTGCATGTCCAGACGGATGTGGGGAAGGATTGGTGTGTTTATATAGCACATTTTTGCTGAGATAAGTGTGTTATCACTCGGGGTTTTGGTGTGATGGGAGCAGGGAGGATCTTTAGGACAGACAATCCATGCTCCAGAGAGAGGCTGTTTATAAAGCTGTTTGTCAGTGGGGCCACGGCACAAGCTGTTTATCTAAATGGGTTAAAAAAAACAGGAGAAGAAAAGCCAGAGGATGAGGGGGGTTTATTCCTGTGAACTTCAGCAACAGCAAACAATAGCAACAGGAGGTTTCCTGGAACATTCCTGGGAAGCCCACTGTCAGGGAAGGAAATTCCTCTGCTCTGTCCCTCTCTCCACTCCCATTCCTCTGCTCCATCAGTGCAGAGGGGATGGGGAGGGGGACAATGGTGGCTGTGGGATGGAGCTGCCCAGGAATGGGAGAGACATGACTGATGAGCAGGGAGGAGACACGATGCTGTCTGTTGTCTGGAGGAGGCAGGGATGGGTTTCCTGGAAGGAACTGGGGCTGGCTCCTCTCCGGAAGGGATTGCATCAAGAGGCTTTGCCAGGGCTTGGCTGGGAATGGCTCTCAGGGAGCTGTGGGTCAGGATGGAAGGGCCTGTCCTGTGCTCATGTAGAGCAGAGTGCCTGCCAGCTTCAGCCTGGGCAATATTTTCATGCACGGAAATCAAAATTCAGATAAACTTCCCTGAAAGCTCAGGATGTCCTGATGTCCCTGGCATGGAACTGTGTCACCAAGGCACAGCAGACTTTGTCTTATGGGGAGCTCAGGAGCTGGGTGGTTGCATCAGCCCTTCTTTTCAGTGGGCTGCATACCTGATGAGCCCAGAGGGGTTGGGACAGCCTGGCTGGTCTCCAGGTGATGCCCAAGACTGCTCTGTGTAAGCAGGAAATCTCCAGTTCCTGCTGGGACAGCTCTAAGACAAGGTTTGGACTGGCTAATAGGGCCAGAAGGCATCCTGCATCCCCTGGAGATAGCACCCCATCTCCTCCTCCATCACTGTGTAAGGCCAGTGACACCCTCCAAAATGCAACAGGCCAGCAGTGGAGTCTGGATGCTTGTGAGAAATCCCCCTAAGGCATTTCACAGCACCCCAACCTCGCCCAGGGCTCCTCCACCACCTTGCCTACCTGCTCTCTCATCTCCAGGGGCAGGTTGGAGGGTCCCAAGGTCTGGATTGATCCGATGATTTTCCTCAGCTGGGGGTCGCTGAAGTTATTCCACGTTTCGCCATAGAGCTCCTTGGCTTTCTTCCCCCATATCTCTGTGAAGTTCTGCTCCTCCAGTGATGCTGCCACCTGCATGGTGAGAGGGCACATGGGGGCTCAGGACCAGCCCTGGGAGGTTTGGGAGCCAGGGCAAAGCCATGAGGGTTTGTGGGAGTCAGAGGGGACAGGACGTGGGGTGACAGGCAGGGCTGTCCCCAGCCCTTGGCACCCATGGATAGAGACAGCAGCTGCCATCTGGCCCTGCAGTGTCTGCAGCCCCTGCTCCCCTGTGGAGCTCTCCATGAGCACCCATGGGTGGCCTGTGAGGGTGTTCAGGAGGAGCTCCAGGGTCTCAGTGGGATGGGAGTGCTGGGATTGGGTGTGCAGGCCATGCAGGCAGGGTGTCTGGGTGCTCCTGCGCTGCCTTTGACATCTGCTGGACCCTGGTCTTGGGAGAAACTCTGAGGTCTGGCTTATTTTTATTTCCAATCCTGCCATTTCTCACTTTCACAGAAGCCCAAAAGATAACTATAAAGGTGCCACATCCACCTTTCTCCTTCCTGTATGTTCCCACTATGTTTGTACACTTCTATTTCTCTACATTCCTCAAGTGGCTGTCTGCAACCTAAATGCCACATCTGGTGTTCACCCATTTGCCCTGAATCCCCAGTTTTGGGTGTCTCTCTGCCACCCAGCTCCTGCCATCCCTGATCTCCTTTCCTGGGGCCATGGGCTGGCTGTAAGATGCCCAAATAACACTGTGGGGTGTTGTTTAGGCAGCTGGGGCCTTGCTTTTGGGATGGGGTGCATTGCAGGTGTTTGTATCCCAGCCTGATCAGTGTCAGCTGTGTTCTTGGGAAGCTGCAAGCTTTTCAGAGTGTCCTGGCCCTGTGCAGAGGGAGTGAGATGGTGCAGAGTGCCTGGTCAGTGTCCATGTGCCATCCTGGTGTGATTTATGGAGCTCATTAGCAGTGACTTGTGGCATTTTTAGCCTGGCTCCAACACGCCTGGTTTGTTTTATTTTAATCTTCACATTCCCTCAGCAGGCAGCAGGGAAGGAAGGGAGTTGTGGTGTGGCAGAGTTGGATGCAGATACCCACACAGCTGCGGGACACAGGGGTGGGAATGCCAACAGTGCCAGGTGCCCCTGGCTACCCCTCACTGCTGCCCTTGGACATCCCAGTGCCCACAGCATCGCTGGCATCAATCCCCCAACATGCCAGCCCCACAGACACCCTGCTCTTGCACCACCCCTCTCAACAGGAGATGCCTTTACCCCTTCCCAGACCCTGTGCAGAGCTGGAGGAAGCAGAGTTCAGCTGTGTTTTGTTTTGAGCTTGAACAGGCACCTGTGTTTGTTTGTTCAGGCAAATCGTGCCCTAAACCCTCCTGACAGCTCTGGTGGAGTGAGCTGAGGCCACTGGTGCTGCCTGAGAGCTCCTTGCTGTGGCCATGCCCAGCAATCCTGGCCCTTCCCCCTGTATCTGGGCTCTCTCTGTGGGGGCTCAGGAGCCCCTTGGCACCCACAGCCTCACAGCTTGCCCCAGTCCCTCCCTGCTGGGAGTGCAGTGAAAGCTCAGGATGCAGCTCAGGGCACTGGGACAGCCTTGGCCCAGGCATTCTGCACCCAAACATGAGCAGCCCCCAGGCCCCATTGCCAGCCTCTTGCCCAGAATCCCAACTTGTGAATGATGGTACATCTGTCTGTCTGTCCATCCCTACCTCTGATCTCCTGCCTCTCATGTCCCTTTGTCACAGGGTCCCCTTTTGTGGCAAGCCCCAGAGCTGCCCATGCCCTGGTGGCCTGGCTCAGCCCCTCTTGTGTTATGGATGAGCAGGGTTTGCTGGCCCAATGCTCCCCCAGATCCCCCAAATTCAGCCTTTTGGGTCCTGCTGGCCAGCTGTTACTCCTTCAGGAGCCAGTGACTCCCCATCCCAGCACACCTCCCTGCTGCCCCACCATGGGCTGATCTCAGGGGTTCAGATCCCCTCCTCTACCTGTTCTGGCTTAGGAGCCTTGACATTGCAGGGAGCTCCTGGGCATGGTTCTCACACATTTAATAGCACATAAAGGGGGGAAAGCTGCTCTGGAAACGCCTTCTGAGAAAAGTCCATGCAAGGTGCTCTCCTGGCCTTAATGATGGGCTCAGTGTAGCTGGGACGTTCCTGCTCTGCCCCAAGGTCCCTCAGCCCACCACATCTGCAGCTAGAGCTGGATGCCTGCCCAGACATCACGTCAGCTTGACAAAAAACGGCTGAGGGGGCACCTGGGCCCTCTCGAGTGTCCTGCCAAATTGGCAGTGCCCAGACCTGGCAGTGATCTTTCCCCTGCACAGGAAGATGCATTTCCTTCCTGCACAGGACACACTGTGCTCCCGTCCCCACGGCATCTGGAGGGTTCAGGGCTCTGTGTGCCAGCCCCTGTGTGACACTGGGCTGGACAAACACACCTATGGGCTGCACTGCCCCTTGTGCCTCTGTAGCCACAGCACTGCCAGGTGTGCCCTGAGCTGTGGCTTGTCCCTGACCCCGTGCTGGGGCCATCGGCAGCTCCCTGAGCACAGCTGGGACCGGGGAAACCACTGCAGCCTGTCCAGGCACTGCCACTGCCCGGGCTGGGCTGGGCTGCAGCTCCCCCGACTGAGAGCAGACCCGGGGCTGCTCCAGCTCCCTGCCCCACGTACTGCACCCCAGACACATCCAAACTCCTGGGAGAACACACACCAGCCTGAGGGATGCACACAGCATTGCTCCCTGCAGAGGTTCCTCCTGCTCTAATCTGGGCTGATGTCTAATCCCCTACAGCCTGGAGTGCTTTCCCACCTCTGTGTTTGTCCCCGTGGGCTGGGGACACAGGGACAAGAGGTGGCAGGCTCAGTCCCGATGCCACCCAGCTGTTTGTGCGCACTTTGGGCTCCTGGTGTCCGCCCCAAGCTAAAACCCTCAGCGCTGGAATGTGGTGACACCAGGCAGGGACAGGGACAGGGACATCTGACACCTGGCCCAGTTCTGGGAAGGGGGAAAGTGGAAGGTGCTGGGAGCAGGGAATCACCTCTAAAAATAACCTTGACTCTGCTCTGGGACCAGAGCTGTCATTCTGGGGCAGAGTCTCTCTGAAAGCCAATTTGGGGCAAACCCCTGCAGCCCCTGGACCACAACTCCCACCCTCGGTTTGCCACCCCGAGGTGCTGAGACAGAAACCCGCCGGGAGGAAGGGAACCCCGCCAAGTGC